TATTTATTTTAATTATTATTTATTTTTTATTTTTAATTATATTTATTTATTTTAATTATATTTATTTATTTTAATTATATTTATTTATTTTAATTATTTATATATTTATATATATATATTTTTTTTTAATTTGTACTCTATCTTTGATTTATTTATTATTTATGTCACCAATGTGCTTGTTATTGTATACCTTGTAGTTTTGTACATTTAAATTGTTCAATTAAAAAAAAAAAATAATAATAATAATAAAGTACATTCCTTTCAAAACTATGAAAAATGTTGTTGTTGTTTTTTTGTTTTTTTTTGCTATTTTAGATTTTAGGACAGACAAGACTGAAGAGACTTGTGTGAAAGAGACCATAAACCAAACACATAAAAAATCAATTTAAAAAGGCGGACAGATTAAATAAGATAGACTGAGAGATAGAGATTTTACTTCCACTTGCACTGTTTACCCATTAAATGACAAAATAAAATAGAACAATACAAGATAAAATTGTTTTTTAACACAGATGTGATTGATATAGAATATTGCAAAGGGTTCCAGCAGGAGGTAGTGGCATTGTGTTAAAATAATAATAATAATAACAGCACAGGACAATATATATATATGTAATTTAGCAGAAGAATATAGCCTTAACATGGCTATAAATATACAGTACAGGTCTAATACTAATAATGTGCACACAAAAAAGTAAAAGTGTACAGTATATGCATAAATACAGTAGCAGTATTAAATAGTGTAAAAAGTGGGTGTGATAAGTGTTGACACCACAACAAAATGGGCCTTATTTTGCCACTGTATGTATAGTAGTGTCTTGGGTATGACACTTAAAAACATTCATTCATTCATCTATCAATTACTACAACTTCTAACAGATGATTATATTGACAATTAAACTTATTTACACTTGGCCATTCCCTATGTAGAACTATTGTTCCAAAAGCAAGTGAAGTCCAGTTGTTTTCTACCGCCATCATGTGGACTTTATATGGTATTGCAGGTTTAACACCTGAGTTAAAACTTGTAAGCTGTGCACTAATTGCCAAGTTGCATGTTTGTTTTTTTATTTACTCTAAATCATAGGCGTTAGATTGGTTTAATAGCGTCACACCAACATCATTGTCTTGCTGTTGTCTTTTCACATGTCATTAATGTGTCCTAATGGGCTTCACCCAGTAGGCCGGGCACATGTGTCACAGGTGATGTGACAAGCAGGTTCAGCAACAGTTGAAACCAGAAATTAGTTGCACCTTAGGCTGGATCCTGTTAAGGCTGCTCTGAAGGAGGACTTTGTGTTTTTAATTTTATCTAACAAAAACTTCAATATGCAGTCATTTTTTTCAATTAAAACATTGATATTAAATTGCTCTGGACACAGACTGGAGTAAAGGAGTAGTTATGCCTTGTTTTTTAAAGGCTAAGGCTTTTTAAAGAAGCTACACAATAGTATTTTTTTTCAATGTCCTGGGACTTATATTTTCAGTGTTTTATGACTCACGTTGGAAATACCTGAGATCTGTGTTGAACAAGTCGAAATGGGGACCTCTGTTTTGTTTGGAGTCAGGACTGAGAGAGGAGTCTTTTGCATGTTTCTGCTCCTCTTGCTCTTCTGTGTTGGAGGGAAATGTGAGCATCAGGAATCCAAACCTACATCACAGACCAACCTTCCCACCGTCAAACCTTTCCCCAATGAACCCCAGGCCTTCCCCAGCGAGGAGAGGGCCAACCTCCCTGTGTTTACTATGGACTACCCTCGGATCCAGCTCCCCTTTGAGTTTACACTGTGGGTACTGCTGGCATCTTTTGCCAAAATTGGTACGTTTGGATGAATTGTGTTGAGGTTTATGTTTGTGCATAAAGAAATAGGGTTTGTTTCAGATTCATCTTTGCATTGTCTTTTCTAATCTCCAGGTTTCCATATTTACCATAAAATCACCATCTGGATCCCAGAGTCCTGCCTGCTGATTACCATTGGCCTCATTGTCGGTGCCATCATGCACGCAGTCAAAGAGGAGCCCCCCGCTGTCCTCAGCTCCAACGTCTTCTTCCTCTACATGCTCCCACCCATCGTCCTCGACAGCGGCTACTTCATACCCACCAGGCCTTTCTTCGAAAACATCGGCACGGTGCTGTGGTACGCCGTCGTGGGAACTCTGTGGAACAGTATCGGCATCGGGCTTTCCCTCTTCGCCATCTGCCAGTTTGAGGTGTTTGGACTTCAGGATATCAACCTGCAGGTCAGTTGAGGTCACAGGAAGCTCAATGGTGCAGTGATTTTAGGTTGAGATTGAGATCTAAGGGGACGCCCCTTAAGCAGCCAACTACATGGCTCTGCTGATTGGAGGAATTACTCGGGTGACGTATGGTAAACAATGCAATTGAGTTGTGAGTACTTGAAAAGTATTATTTTATGATTACATTATCCTTTGGCTTCTGTTTAACAACTTAAGTATCTTTAATGCAGTATTATGTTTTAATTGTGCAAATGGTTAAATGAATAGGTTATTTCAAGTCTGGCTACAGTCTACAAGGCATTTCAAAATTGAGAAAAAGAAGTTTAGATCATGGAATTTTGCGATTAAATAAAAGGATGAGATGTGATGCAAGATGTGTGATATTTATGTATGGGATTTTTTTGTTTTTGTTTTATCAGTTAAAAGTGGATAGAAAGTGGCTCAGACAGTATTAAGGATTAGACTGCCAGGAAAGCCACCAATTCCAAAAATGCACTACAGCAATGTACTCTAAGGCAACGGTTCCAGTATTTTTGGGTCATGACCCTTTAAAACAAAGAAAAATCCACTTTGCAACTCATCATCCTTTGTGTGTGTGTGTATGGGCATATGAGTGCTATTTCCCCTCTCGCTTTTATATAAATATTAATAAAAAAAAAGCTCTTAGGATAAAATGGTATGAAACAAAAGGCATATTTTATATGAATTGCTCAAACGTTGCTTAAAAACAGCAATAATGGGGATAAATTCATCGACCTTTTAAACAACATGAGAAAACAGCCTCACTGCAAGATTTATTTAGTGGCTGTTTTGGAGCTTTCAATCATAACTTATGATATGCAATGTTTAAGGTCAAAACTAAATGTTGAACCTCAACAAAGTCTTTAAAGTGCTCAGAACTGAATTCAATCTGCTGATGAAAACCATGTGATATGATGAAAAGCTCCAGAGCAGCTACTAAATGTACCTTGTGGAGAGATTGTTTTCTTAAATATTAGAGAACTATTAGTACCATGATGTCCAAGAAAATGTCTCAAAGAAACAAGAGACTGCCTGCTTTTAACATCATGGAGAAAGAGGTCAATGCACTCTAAATGTTAATTAATCTAGCTGCTCATCAAACCCAACAGGAGGAATAAACTCTCTCTGTTTTTCACTCCCTTCACTGCAGGAGAACTTGCTGTTTGCGTCCATCATCTCGGCCGTGGACCCTGTGGCTGCGCTGAATGTATTCGAGGACATTGGAGTGAATGAACAGATGTATATAGTCATATTTGGAGAGGGCCTCTTCAACGATGCTGTCACTGTGGTGAGTACGGGGGGCGTTTGTTTGTGTGGACTGTGTGAATCTATGAAAATAGATTGTTGTGCCAACCAGTCACAGAATAGTAATGAGCTGGGTGATATGGACACGGTATTATTCTCGTGATATAATATGACACAGGTTAAATATAATCTCTTCCTGCTCTTAGAGTTTCCCTTCCAGTCACTTGAGTGCACATAATGAATGCGTCCAGGCTTTCATGTTCACATTACTCATGACCCCACGTCAACCATTTATAGTTTATAAAGCAAAGTGTTGGATTTTAGCCTAATCCTTCTTTATTAAACACAAGCCAAAAAGCTATCTTCATATATTTGTTGCAGTTTGGTAAATTAGAGCCAAGCATGCCGAATTAGCTATAAACACTTCCTATCTGCAATGTAACCACGGATGCACAGATAACCATCACTGAATTACTGGAAAACTTAAAAACGTGATGTTTCTAAGGCAAGTTCTGCAAGTTTTAAGGAAGTTCGTATTTGATATGACTACTAAGCAGATGTATGGACATACACTTCCAGATATAATATTGTCGGGCAGTGTACCTCACATTAAATGTAAAAATATATGTATCATATCTGTGTGGTCGACCTCATGCAGTATCTTTGCCCGACTTTTCTCCCTCTGTGCGCCCTCTACCACTCGCCTACAATTTGAAAGAGCCCCTGAACTCAAGGTAAAGATAGAAGTAGTCCGATATTGTTGTGGAGGGAACAAGGGAAAACATTTTTTTGGTGGTTGCGAAAGCCTCAGAATGCAACATTGCACCAGAAAATTACACATTTCTCCAACCATCACTTTGACAAGAAGCAGTTGGGGCTCTGTATATTTGTCTGTATCTGTCAGTCTAGTTTGGCCAGTTTTCTCATTGTAGAATTTCACTCAGTTTCACTTGAGAGGTAAGTTTCACTCAACCCTTCCTGGTGCTGATTGCCTTCAGTTGCATCCCAAAAGGCAACATGTCAGTATTGCCAGTCGAGTGACACAAATCATGTTGGGACATAACATTCAGCCTGACAAAGCAGTTTACAGTCTAACAACAGCTTAATTGGGGCAGATTCTTGAGAGTGTTTGAGTAGTTGAACCTGCTTGACTGCTGTTTGTGAACTCACGCTTACATGCAAGCAAACCCTGTGTCCAGCTTTGTTTTCTGTTCTTCTTTTTCTGTGTCTGTCTCTCTGCAGGTACTTTCCAGCATGTTTACCTTTCTAGCAGACATGCCCATTGTTGAATCCGCTGATGTATTTCGGGGAGTGGCCAGGTTCTTCGTGGTGGCGGCCGGAGGTGTCCTCTTTGGCCTTCTGTTTGGATTTATGGCTGCATTCACCACACGTTTCACCCACAATGTCCGCCAGATCGAGCCCCTCTTCGTCTTCATGTACAGCTACCTGGCGTACCTGGTGGCTGAGTGTTTTTCCATCTCCAGCATCCTGGCGTAAGTGCAGGCCAACTGTCTACAAAACACTTCAACTATATTATATTAAATTATTAAACTGCATCCAACAGGCAGTATTCAGATCCAAAGTATTAATACCACCATTAAGACATGTAAAGACACATACACAAACAATCTTGTGTGTCTGATATGTTTTTTTCCCAAAGTACCAACATTAAAAGTATGCAGAATTAGCTATTAGCACTTCCTGTTTGCAAGTCAACCATGTCTGTGTCTTTAGATTTGTAGTGCTGGCAGCAAAAATAATCTCTGCCTTAATTACTAATTAGTTTTTAATAACTTTAAACCCATTTTTAACTTCTTATGAAAAAGTCTTAATTTAATACTAATGCCTCTATATGACCTTTGCAAACAAACAATACCATCCGCTAGAAGGTTGGCTATTCTTAATGCCTGCAACCAAGTCAGATTCCCCTAGAATTCAATGAAACAAGGCAGTAGGAACACTACCACTTTTGTCCATAATAATGGCCACCATAATCAACAAAAATTGTAACTTCCTTGTTGCTGCTGTATATTAAAACATATTTTATTTCTTAAAACAAATCAGATCTAGATTATTTCAACCTGTTGATAGAAACCATCTTGTTTCAAGAAAATCCTAAAGAAGACAGAATAAGGGATTGCTGCTTTAGAATTAAAATCATAAAACCAGCTGACTTTTGTTAAAATGGGTTAAAATTAGGACTTAATCACAGACAATATGAAGATTTCTTTCAGTGTGTGCAGCATGCAAAATGTTAACTCTTTTAATCAGATACATGTAGAGGAGTAAAAAGTACAATATTTAAATGTAGTAGCAGATGGAACAACAGTACGAGATGTACTTAGTTAAATTCCACCACTGACAACAGGTAAACATGATGTTATCATCCCAACATGAGTCGGCTCAAATAACAGGATGAAATCAAGATGAATGAGTGATCAAAATATTTCTAGAAGTAGCAGCTAAATGCTAAATTGTTAACTACAGTATAGCTTAGGCTACCCAGTAGAGAGTTGTGCTTTCTTGGCTTTAGCTATAATTTTTCCAACACTTAACATGTTAATGCAACTTGTACAAACTTGTCCTTCCACCTAGTTTTACGCCCACTGTGAGTTCAGTTAAAAGCAACACGTGTGGCATGTTCGCTGTGAATCGCTGTCATGAAGGTGTAACGAGGTAAAAATGTGCTCGAGCAACATTCCCAGGTGACTAAGCGTGCACTGAAGTGAGAGGGAAATTAAACAAGTTTAAGTGCAGTTGTTCTGTGTGTCCAAAAAAACCTAAATAAATGCAAACTGTCCAGGTGAGACAACAAAACTGCGATGCATAACTCATGATAAACATCTTAAGATTTAAAAAAATAAAGGCAAAAATACAGTCAATTATACAAACAATAACGACCATGAATAAACACCCTCATTTCAGCTTTTTAACACCCAATGGATTTTAAAATAGCTTATTGTTAATAAGTAGGAGCATTGAGTGCAGCCTTTCTCCCTTTTTGGTTAAAACTAGTCTTAAATATGGGTAACACTTTAATGTAACTGTTTATTTTAGCATTTATAAATAATATATATAGAATAAATGATTTATATCACACTACATTGTGCGCATTTCTTAATCCAAAGTATGTTTATCTCTCAGTTTATCTTGTGTTTTTCTTTTCACATGTTGCCCTCTAATTCTCATATTTATTCAAAAACCTTGTAAGTGGTTTCTCAGATACTGTATTTTGTAGGGATGTTGTGATACACTCAACTCACCCTTTGATATAATTTACGATACTGGGTTGACAACGTGATTGTCTCACATTTTTTAACCAAAAATAGATTGAAGACAAATTCTGACTTCCTTAATTTCTCAAACTAAAATCGATATTTTCTTTCATATTTTCTTTATCAGAAACAAGGATTCTATATAAGGATTATTTTATTGTAATTTACAACGCAAGATTGTAGAATGAGGATTTGAATCTTGGGGAATGAAGGGTTACTATTTGGGTTTATCTGTATTTTTTCCTCCTTCCTGCAGCATTGTAACATGTGCCATAACCATGAAGTACTACGTGGAGGAGAATGTATCCCAGAGATCCTGCACCACCATCCGCCACGTTGTCAAGATGCTGGCCACCGTCTCGGAAACCCTCATCTTCTTCTTCCTGGGTGTTGTTACCATCACCATAACGGAGCACGAGTGGAACTGGGCCTACATCATGTTTACGCTGCTGTTGGCCTTCATCTGGAGGGGAATTGGTGAGAGCCTTCACTTATTGGGGAGGTCCTGACAAAGCTCTGTCTAACAGGTTCATCAGTCCAACGCTTCTCAACGCTTCTTGTGCTGCAGGCATTCTGGTGCTGACCCAGATCATCAACCCATTCCGTACCATCCAGTTCAATTACAAGGACCAGTTTGGCCTCGCCTACGGAGGCCTGCGAGGGGCAATCTGCTTCGCCCTGGCCTTCACCTTGCCTGATACCATCAACAGAAAGAACCTGTTTGTCACAGCTTCAGTTGCCGTTATTATATTCACTGTTTTCATACAGGTGAGACCTTTAGCTGGAAACTCTCACCTATTTGAAATACAGCAGACCATCCGTGCTCTGTATGGAAGATTTTAAATGTCCAAAGAAAAACAGATCAAGCATAGAAAAAGATAAAGAAAGAAAAAGATAAAGTGAAGCACCATATACATTATAATGCTTCCTTTTTATGTGTGCATTCAACTACATGAAACACACATGTTAAAATAATTACACATTTGGCATAAACAACACATCTCCATTTGAAACCTAATGACCTTTGTATTTATTTACTTACTTAATAAATGTTTTCAATTTGTACATAAAATAGAGTTAAAAGAGAGTGAATATCAGACTC